AGTAATTGCCAAAAGTCAGAGTGAATTTTCCATCTCTTGTCTCCCTGTTTCCCAGGTAAGACCAAGAACTCTACCTAAAGTTAATGGCTTGATGCTTAAAATTAACTGCTGCCTTTATAAATAGAACCCATCCATCAGCTTTCATCACCCAGCAGGCCCCAACTGGTTAGACCAGTTCAGCTCTTCTTGATGTGGTTGTGGTTAAATGTCCTGTTTCCAGTGAAAACACTGGAGGCTCTAACCCACTTCCAAAACGGGGGCCAGGCCGCTGGCTGGCAGCACTCCCCGCTCCGGATCCGCTGTCCTGCACTGCCTCTGCCGTGGCTTCAGGCAAGCTTTGAGAGCTTCAGAAATAGTCACAGCCTGCTTCTACAGCATATACATACAGGTGCCTGGAGTCAAAGGCAGGACGCCCTCCCAGCCCCACTCTCCTTGTAACACCTGAGAATTGTAAAGCATTAGGAGAAACAAAATCAAATTCCCTAAGGCAAAAAGGATGGAAAAAAAAATCTTGTATGGTGATGTTTTGTAGCAGCACCATTTACAATGCCAAGAAGTAGAAACAACACAACTGTCCCTCAACTGATAAATGGATAAAGAAAACATGGTCTATCCATGCAAGGGAACATTATTCAGCCCTAAAAAGGAACAAAGAATTGATTTATACTACAAAATTGGATAAACCTAGAAAATATGCTGAGTGAAAGAAGCCAATCACAGAAGGACAAATATCATGTGACTCCACTTATGAAATACCTAGAATAGGCAAATCCAGAGACAGCAAGCAGATGGGAGGTTACCAGGCGTGGGGAGAGGAGGAATGAGGAGTAACTGCTGATGAGTACAGAGTTTTTACGGGGGCAAGGAAAAAATGTTTGGAAATAGACGGTGATGATTTCACATTTTGAATGTTATGAATGCCATTGAAATGTACACTTTTTTTTTTTTTAGAGACAGGGTCTTGCTCTGTCACCCAGGCTGGAATGTAGTGAGTGGTGCCATCATAGCTCAATGCAGTCTTGAACTCGTGGGCTCAAGAGATCCTCCCACCTCAGCCTCCCAAGTAGCTGGGACTACAGGTGCACACCACCACTTCTGACTAATTGTTTTTTTTTTTTCAGAGATGGTGTCTTGCTGTGGTTTCCAGGCTGGTCCTGAACTCCTGAGCTCAAGTGATCCTCCCACCTCAGCCTCCCAAAGTGCCAGGGTTACAAGCATGAGCCCCCTCACCTGGCCTGAACTGTACGTTTAAAAATGGTTAAAATGTACCTCACGCCTATAATCCTAGCACTTTGGGAGGCCATGGCGGGAGTATTGCTTGAGCCCTGGAGTTTGAGACCAGCCTGGGCAATAGCAAGACCCTGTCTGTACAAAGAACAAAAAAACAAAAGAACTTAGCCAGGCATGGTGGCACGAGCCCGTAGGTCCAGCTACTCAGGAGGCTGAGGCAGGAGGATCACTTGAGCCCAGGAGTTGGAGGCTGCAGTGAGCTATGATGATGCCACTGCACTCTAGCCCCAGCAACAGAGAGAGACCCTATCTCAAAAAAAACAATTAATTAATTAATAAAAATAGTTAAAATGGAAAATTTTATGTTATATGCAAATTGTACTATGAAATAAAATTTCCTGAGGTATGTTTTTGAGGCTGCCAACTGAGGACACCTGTTTTCTCCATAGCCAGTTCTGCTGCCTGTGCAATGTGCCGCGGAACTCGGGAGCGGATGGAATGCAGAGACCAAGGATTCAGCCTCTTGGGAAGGAAGGGGCCTTGGGCCTTTTGAGAGCAGTGGTGAGATCTGCTCTCCTCTTAGGATGGCCGAGGAGACCCCCAAGTGGCTGGAAGGCAACCTTGGGAACATGTCCTTCCATACCAGGGGATCCCGGAGTCCTCCCTGGGGTCTGCGGGGAGAAGCAACCCTCTCCCCGCAGGAAGGAGACGCGCAGGCAGAGCCCACAAGCGCCACCTCACAAGGTGCTGTAGACCGCAGGGCCCTCCGCCGGGAGAGAAGGAAGCTGATAGAGAAGGACATACTCCAGAAAGTGCCCTGGGGTGCCCAGGACCCCGCTCGTAGTGGCCACAGCGGGATGATGGAGCTGCCCTGCCTCGCTGGACAGTCAGCCCCCAGCCCAGGGACGCCTCCAGAGGAGCCGCAGGCGGGACCACCGGTGCTCTCGCTCCAGGTAGGGTCTCCCACTGCCCTGCACCTCCTCAGGCCTGCACCCTGCCGTGCAGCCACCTTCCCAGTGCTCTGGGCTACAACCAGCTGGCCCGTGGGGACCTTAGGCCCAGGGTCCCAGGTCCACAGGCGGGTGGGTGCCTCTCAGTGGGTGGGGGTCCCGGTAGAGAGCGCGTCCTTGGGGAGAGGTAACGAGACCACAGAAGAACAAGCAGAACGCAGCCTTCTTTAAGAAGAGAGAAAAAGAATACTAACCCAGTCAGTGCACTGTAGACATAAACATATACAGCCGTACACAAACACAGGAGCGGACTCTGTAAAGCGTAGTTCTCAGGGTTAAAGGCCCCGTTCTCAACTAGTGAGCACCTGTTACAGGGGGATTTAGGACATTAATGAGGGAACCAGCAGGATGAAGAGCTGGTTTAATGAGATTATGAGAAACTGGAATTCTGAGGTCAGATGGGATCAGGCACCGTTCAGGGCGGTGCGGCCGTAGACAAGAGAAACTGGAATTCTGTAAAACACTGGGGGAAAAGGAAGTCGTCAGAGATAAAAATGATACATTATGTATAAAACCCTGTTGTATAGGGCAACAAAACTGTTATCTTTGGGGTCATCTTGTCTGTGGGACAGAAAATGAAACCATCACACGGTCTCAGTTTTACAAAGTTGGAAAACAGGTGGGCCCTGGTCAATTGCACAAACCAAGTTACTTTCCCCCAGAAAAGGTGGGCACGTTAGAAAATGCTCCAGGCACGATGCTGAAAGGCCACGAAATTCTCCTTCTGTCTTATTTACAAATTTTGGATAATTTTTCTTAACAACTTAGAGAAATCCGGCAGCAAGGTATACAAAGAAGTCATTTTCCTTACTGTTTAAATAAACCATTCTTTCCTTTCTCTGCTCGCCCCTAAACACTTTCATTTTTCCTCACCGGTAGGGCCACAGAAGTTGAAAGGTCATATGTAATAAACTTGAGTCCCTAACTAACGTCCTCCCTCCTCATCACACCCACTGTGCCCCCAGAGCACTCTCTGCCAAGTCCTCCAGTTTTAGCACCTGCCTAGAACAACCTGTCTCTTAAAAGAGCACAGCTTTTTAACCTCCAAATATTTTGAGCTTGTATGAACCTAAATAGTTTTAAAACAATACAGGGTTTCTTTCTTCCAGGTCAAACAACATCTTTGTTCCAAAATCAAAAGTATTGACCCCAAAAAAGCATAGGAAGGAGGTGGCAAGAAATGCAGGCCCCACCTCAGCGGAGGTGTTCACAGTCTGTAGCGGCAAGGGTGGGTGAGCCCATCTGCAAACGCATCTAAACCCTGGTTTCTACCCCACAACATCCTGTGACGGTCTCCACTGGTCACAGCAGCTGGGAGGCAGACGCTCATGCCTGCGGCAGCCTCGTAATCTCTGGTTTAATTATTTCAGCAACTTGAAGAGTGGGATTTGGATTATATCCTTCAGAGTCTGGCAGGGCAAGAAGACAACCAGGAAAATCATGCACCTGGAACCGCATGGTGGACAGCTGACGGCTGCCAAGTCCAAGGTCTGACCTTGAATGCCAGAGCCCAAGCGAACCCCCCCAGGCAGCTCCTTCCTGGGCCTCTCAGTAACAGGGTCCTGTGGTCACGATCAGCCCTGCAGCTGCACGCGTCCCCTCTGCTTGTTCAGCCCCTCCCTGTCCCACACACTCATGTTACCAGTCCTTGAAAGACTTCGTTCACTCACTCGTTCACTCAACACGTATGTGACAGCCTGCTACTCGCCAGGGATGGGCCGGGTCCAGGGGACACAAGAGGGGCCTTCAGACACAGTCCCTGCCCTGTGACCCACACCTCTTCCTCCTCCTCTTCCTCTTTCTTCCTGGGGGAAAGTCAGTCCTGCCTTTTGTGCACCTTCAAGTCAGCTCCTAGGCACACTCCTGCTTCCACTTGACACCACATTTAAAAAGGAAGGCTAAAGATACCACCACCGTCACCGTACTTGTGGCTTTGCTCCCCAACCCCTCACCCCCCAGTCAGGCCTACAAAGGCGAGTGGAGGCAGGCCTGAGGCCCAGGAGCAAGGACAGGTGCGGGGTTTCTGCCTCCGAACCCAGAGCAAAGGCTCAGCTGTGACTGACAGCCCCTGTGCTGCTTTAAACATAGTTTTGTTTGTTTACAATTCACACCCCTTATGGCAGGATATGGAGAAACTGACTCCCTGGTAGGGAGTGTGTGTGTGTGTGTGTGTGTGTGTGTGTGTGTGTGTGTGTGTGTAACTGGTACACCCTACGTAACCCTTTGATCCAGCTATTCCATTTCGACAATCTATCCTACACACTTAGCCTAGTGGGTAAAGATGTGTCCTCAAGGATGTTCATTGCAGTGTTGTTTAAAATTGTGAAAAGTTGGAAGCAGACCACATTCAATACAAATCCAGCTAAATCAGTTCTACCGCAGAATGTTCTGCAGCTCAGTGAGAGAATCTATGTTAACGTGGAAAGACGTAATATATAAAATGAAAAAAGTTAAGTTGAAAAAATCTACAAAGGCTGGGAGGCCGAGGCGGGCGGATTGTTTGAGCTCAGGAGTTCAAAACCAGCCTGAGCAAGAGCGAGACCCCGTCTCTACTAAAAATAGAAAGAAATGATCTGGACAACTAAAAATATATACACAAAATTAGCCGGGCATGGTGGCGCATGCCTGTGGTCCCAGCTACTTGGGAGGCTGAGGCAGGAGGATCACTCGAGCCCAGGAGTTTGAGGTTGCTGTGAGCTAGGCTGACGCCACGGCACTCACTCTAGCCAGGGCAACAGAGTAAGACTCTGTCTCAAAAAAAAAAAAAAAAAATCTACAAAGGATGGTCTTGTTGCTATAAAAAAAAAAAGCACACAGAACTGTTACTTATGGTTACCTCTGACAAGTGGGATTGGGGAGTAAGGAAGTGGGACAGACTTTCAATAGTAAGTCACTCCTACTTCACAAGGCTCCCTGCTGAGTCAGAGGTGGAGTCTGGAGTGATGCATAGTGAGAGCTGGGGTGGGGGCACCGCACACATGGCTCAAGCTGCCATAAGCCAAACTGAGCAGCCTTCTCTCCTTTGGCTGTCCTCAGACCACACTGTGCCCAATGCCCAGGACACGCTCATGGAGCAGCTGGCCCTCCTGTGTGCCACGCAGCCCAGAGCCTCTGCCTCTGCCTGGAACTTGCCTGCTGACACACCCCGGGACACCAAGGAGCAGGAGGCTGGAAGCAGGTGGGACTTCTTGCAGTCACGGCCCCTTTCATCCTTTCAGAACTGGCCTATGGTCATGTGGGCTTATTGTGGGGAGGACACTTGATGCGCATCTTTTCATCTGATCTCAAGAATCTGATCAGGCAGTTACTTCTATTAAGCCCATTTTAGCGATGGGGAAACAGACTCAGAGAGGTTCACTCTTCCTGGCCATAAATGGCAGAGCTGGGACTCAAGCCCCAGAGTACCTGCTCTCTCCTCAAACCCTGTGGGAACCCTCCCTTCACTACCCTCATGGCCTCCCTGGGAGTAGAAAGGTGGTCACATGACCTTGCCCCTCTGGCCACAGCTGATTGGTCCAGCCCTGGGCATGTGACCCTAGCCAGGCCAATCAGAGCCTTTCCCTGGGATTTTCCAATCCCTGTGTCTGTATAGGGGAGGAAGGGCTATTGGCCACCACCCGTTCTGCCATCTGGAGAAAGGCAAGCTGGGGTAGGCAGAGGTCGAGATAGGGACCCCTGCCCCTCAACACACTTTGGTTGTTCCACCCTTTTTAGGAATCTGAGAGCCAATGAATTCGCCTTTGCACCTGAGCTAGTTGCAGTGGGTTTTTGTGCCTGGCAACCAAAAGCCCCTGATAGAAATGGCTGGACCTGCACTGTTCAATACAGTAGCCATTAGCCACTAAACACTTGAAATGTGGCTAGTGTGACTGAGGAACCAAACTTATTTTACTGATTTGATTTTAATTAGCTTAAATGTAAATTTAAATAGCCACCTGTGGTAGGTGGCAACCATACTGGACACCACAGATAAAGAGCATTTCAGTCATCATGGAAAGTTCTATTAGAGCTGGCCTAAATCATGAGGGCTGTTCTGATGAATAAAAGAGCAAACCCTTAGAGTGTCTTCCGACACACAGTGGACACTAACTGGGTGGCAGCCACAGGCACTGTGATTGGACAAGCCCAGCACAGGTCACAGAGAAACCACAGAGAAGTGACTTGACAACCCCTGCTCTTCTCATCTCAGATGTGCTTCAAGGAAGCCAGGCACCCAGGCTGAGCCAGGCCGGAAGCTGGCCGAGGGCACGAGGCGCAGCATGGAGCCTCCCACCATCTACATTGATCTGCGGCAGATGGAGCCACCAGCCCACCATTTCCTGGAGAGGTACAAGCAGTGACAAACCCTCCAGCAGATTTGCCACTTGGCAAAGTTGCACGGTGGTCTCATGAGGCCTCTGGCAGTTCCTAGTGGGGAGAAACAGGGACTGTGAAAGGCTTGGAACAATGCTCAGTTGAGAAGTGCTTTTAGCCCAGAGCGGGGTCTGGCCAACAGTCCCACTTGGTCCCCTGTGGGGAGGGAAGAAGAGGGACAGAGGACAAACTTCCTCAGACTGAGCTCTATGCAAACTTTGTCTAGGCTGGAGCACATCGCCCTGCACCCTCCCTCACCACTTGGCAGGAAGTCTAGGGCCCTTTGGTTTCGGCTGCTATGCTGTGGCTGCCGGCCACCCTCCTGCCTCAGGTCACCAGGGAGATCCGAGCACTCCAAGCCCTTGATGGGAGTCAGGCCTGGCTAGGGGCACTGGGGCACCTCGGCAACCCCATTTCCTCTCCTCCCCAGCTCCAGCTCCAGCTCCTCGGACAGTGAGGAGGAGGAGGAGGAGCCAGCGGCTTTGGGAGACCAGCGTGGCCCAGCAGAGTGGGCAGCTCCTTCCTCCCAGGGCCCACGGTAACCGCAAAGGGGCCTCCCTTGGGGTGTCCCAACATTGCTTTCCTCAGCAAGCCCTGACCTGGCACATTTAACAACTGTGCTTTCAGCTCTGTGTCGTGCGCCCTAAGGGCCAGCACGTACAGGTCTGGGGTCGGGGGGGTCTAGGAGGTGGGGGAAGGTAGCCTGTGGGAGCCCATATGGGGCCCAGCACCCTCTCTCAGCCTGGCCTGCTGTGCCTTGGACACCGAGGACACCCTAGCTCATGCTCGAGGAGGGCTCGGTACATTTTCTTTCTGAAGATTAGCTCCTCAAATGATTCTTCTCCCTGCTACTGATGGCAGTAGAAGGGAGGAGAAAGTGTAGGGGTAGAGTGAAGCGAGGTTTGCTAGCCAGAAACAAACTGCTTGGGTAGATTAGAGTGAAATGTCAAACTCACAGGCAGCCCAGGCGTGAGCTGTGAGGGAGGCCCTACGCTGTGGTCACGGGCGAGTGAGTTACGTGCTGCGGCAGCATCAGCAAGTGCGGAACTACACTTGGAGATGCAGGGTCGCATGCAGCGCGCCCTCCCTGTGGCATGTGATGAGGCCCTACAGCAGAGAAGCAGGGTGAAGGGTCACTGACGAGCACGTGTGGAGCCTCTGCGAGGGCTGGAGGCTGCCGCCTCTTCCTGAGTGTCTCGAGGACCCGGGAACCCGCTCCCGGAGACACTCTAGCCTCCCTCTCCGTGTCTGGCCCTCACGTGACTTTTTCCTTCTCCTAGCAATGCCCCTTGGCAAGGCTGTGCTTTTCTCAAGGCTGCACAGTCGAGGTTAGTGTTAGCCAGGCAAGCTCCTTCTCCTGGTCCCTCGGTGCCGGGCACCAGGACGTCTGTCCAGGCCAGGCCAGTGGAGCACCTGCGATGTGACCCCCGAGCCCTGCAGTCACACACCCTGGGCTCAAATCCAGGCTGCTCCCCTTGCTACCCAGGGAACTTCAGCAAATCACTCACTCTCGCCAAGGCTCTACGTCTTCATCTGGAAATGGGGGACAGTTTTAGGACCTACCTCAGAGGATTCCAGAGTTGGGCACAGAGAGAGTCTCCAGTAAATGGCAGCTATTTTGCTGGTCTGGGCTTTGAGATGATTAGAATTTTCCCTCCCATGCTGACTAGGAAATTAGCTCAACTCCACCAGAGAGTTCTTTCGATAAGAATGTTGCTGGTTCTCATTTCTTTCTAGAATTATTCATCAGTTGTGTTTAACCAGCTGAAACCTAAACTCAGAGATGAACTCAGAAAGGGTGGGTGGTGATGTTGTTAGAGTTGCCTTTCCTGTTGGGTGGGAGCCTCGGGGGACCCTGGAGTCACTCTCGGTGAGACCTCTGACCCTGTGTGGTGGGGTCTTGCTCAACCGCCACACAGAGCAGGGGAAGCCAGCGGTGTCCGTCATCACACTGGCCTCCCCCCAGATCCTGCAGTTGCCTGAATCACGTCCCCGTTCTTCCGTTTCAGTGGCCGAGCACCAGGAGGGGCAGCCTCTGCGGGCTCTGGCTGAGTGTGGTTTTACTGTTGCAGGAACTGCACTGGGAAGAGTCAGCTGCTTCAGCAGCTCAGGGCCTTTCGGAAGGGGACGGCCCAGCCCCAGCTGCCCACCAGCGAGGGCCCCTGCGGCCAGAGGGCTCAGGCTCGGGCAGACTCAGCCGGAGCAGGAACTGGGAGGAAGCAGCACGTAAAGCTCTGGGCCGAGGGGTACAGTGCCCAGGCCAGGCTCCCAGGAGGAAGCCCCCAGGCCCTGGGGGACGCTCTTGGGCCAGGAGTAGCCGGGGAGGCCCCGGTGCCTCTTCTGGGCTGACCGTAGATGCGAGTGGGATCTGAGGAGCAGGCTGCAGCAGTCTGGCTCTCCATCGACACTGAGCCCTGGCGGTCCCCTGGGTCTCCATTGTTTCCACTGGCTGGTGCTGTTGAGAGACAGGGACCCTCAGACTGCAGGCCGTTCCGCAGACCCTGGCAGAACTCAGCCTCACACTTACGAGCAAGGATCCAAATGCAGATTTGTACATAAAGCAGGACAACTCTGGGAGACGCGGTGGCCTGACCTCAGTGTGACTGGAGGGACGGCAGGACAGCAGCGCTGCTCTCAGGGCCGCAGGCATCTCACCTTTGTCCATTTCTGCATGTTTTTTCTTTAATGAGCATCTATTATTTCCATCATACAAGGTCTTTTTAAAAATAAAACATATTTAGAGAATTTCAGGGTTGAAAAGGACTTAAGCCTGATTTTCTGAGTCCCTGGATATCTGCTATTTTGTGCACTAAATTAAACGCGCCACACACGCAAGCGCACACAGACCTAACGGACCTTTTGAAAAGGGGAACAATTGGAATTTGCTTTCTCTTTCTTCTCACTACCCAAGAGAAAGGCACACGCAGGTTCTAGGGGCCTTCCAAGCCAAAGTGGTGTTGACCTTTACCAATCTAGACTGGATACTGGATGTCCCAACACCTGGAAACTGTCCTGTGTGGAATGGAGCAGTGGCCACGCCTGTCCTGTCACAACGAGCAGGAGCTGGGGGCTGGCCGGCGCCCGCCAAGGCCTGGCCCCCACAGGATGCCCCTGGTCTCCCTCCATCCCGTCACTCTGCAAGCGTTGTACCTGCTGTTACCAGCCCTGATCTCGGCACCTTTGTTCTCCCCCAGCCTGTCTCCAGGATGCTTCCCCCACCTGCTCCATGGCACATGCAGAGAAACCATCTCAGCTCGGGTCCTGCCATGGCGGGGGCACAGGCGGCACGGCAGGGCACTTGGCATTTCGGCGCGTGTTCCAGCATTCAGCTGACGGATCACTGCCAGCTGCCACGCTGCTAAGTGTGGGCAAGGGTCTCTTCGTATCGGCCCTGCTTGGCTTCAGCCACAGGCAGCCAAGATCAGGGCCACAGACTTCTGCTCTCCAGACCCCACCTGATCTGGCCACTGAAGACGCCCCACCAGCCCTCATTCCCAACAATAAGGGGCGTTTTCATTAGAAGCCAAATGCAAGGCAGGCTTCCACGAAGGCTGCAGGTTTGGAGAGGCCTCACCCGCAGGGCCTGGGGCCGGGCTGACTCTGGGCAGCGCAGCCTGCTGGGCCTGGCAGCCTCCACTGCAGCATCCAGCTATCGACAGCAAAGGCTACTTTTTTTTCTTCAACCTCATTTTCTCCTATCTCCGCCCCTTTTGATGCCAGTAAGTTCATTTAGAATGTTTTACAAACAGTGAGACAAAAAAAATTCTATGGATGAGCAGATCAGAGAGGCTCTTACGTCTCACAGGACAGACAAAAGGTGGTTTTTCTTACCTTAGAAAAAGTTTGGCCAGATTTGGTAGCTCATGCCTGTAATCCCAGCACTTTGGGAGGCCGAGTCAGGAGGATCACCTGAGGCCAGAAGTTCAAGACCAGCTTGGGCAACATAGTGAGATCCTGTCTCTTCAAAAAATAAAAAAAATTAGGCCGGGCGCGGTGGCTCACGCCTGTAATCCTAGCTCTCTGGGAGGCCGAGGCGGGCGGATTGTTTGAGCTCAGGAGTTC